GAAAGTATGTGTCTTTACTGCGTGGACTATCCCCGGTGCCATCACCCTCCACATCCTCTCCTAGCATGTCCCACATGCGGCATTGGTCATACACCTACGGCAACCGCTGACGTATCTCCCTCTTTCTTGCCAGACGAACGACGAACACAGCAGTCCGAGGAGGAAAATAGACTTCTACATGAACCACCGGCRGAGCGATGTGCTCATAGTGTATCACCACCAGGGCGAGCTGTTGTGGATCATATCCTGCAGCAGCTGAACGCCCTTGCGTTGGACCGATCCTCCCTGTTGTCGTCTGCCCATACAGAAGGAACACATACTGAGGAAGCCCAAGAAAGATGCTCCATGCCGTTTTGGGATGACCTGCTGGAGATTCAACTAGCATGTGGTTCGCATGCCTTGTGCCGTGCCATGCAAGTTTTTGCTTCCATACGTACGGTGACAGTCAGTACTGCACTCATGTACGGCACCCCCACATGTCATGTCCAATTTGTAGACAGGGGCTGGAACGGCAATGCCTCTATAATTGCGGTCGACGTGCCTCTGTGTTCCTAGCATGTACGAGCCACGTAGCCTGTGACATCTGTCTGCGTCGTGCCATTCGATGCAGCAACTGTGACTGCGAAAATTGGATGCGGTGCTTCCATAGCCCACACCCGAACCGGTCCTGTCCGGTCTGTAGGGGTGGCCACTCGCCATGGTAGTTTTTTTTTGTTTTTTTTTTGCCCCTACCTCCCCTGCCCCATACTCCTAGAGAACTCCGCCTTCTATCCCATACCCTCCACCCTCCCCTCCACTCCCTTTGTACTACTAACAAAAACATACGAATGAGCATCATTAAGAGAATAGATGATATGAAGATCAGAATGGAATGAACGGAAGCATGAAGATGAAGGACGGACACAAGACTGTATAAGCTGAAGATCTGAAGTGAAATGAACAGGAGTATGAAGCTCTGAAGAGATGCACAGGAGCATACCTTCCCTTTTACTCTGCCTCCTGAAATAACGTGCAAGTGGGCCGTGAAGGCACATGGGGATGTGGGCAGCTGCCGCTCAACCACAATCACCGTGGGCAGCCTTGTGCGTAAGAGGCACAGTAAAAGGGGAGCTGCAAGAACAATGAAAGGGGTACCCCAAGGACAACCAAAAAACTGTCTAATTATAAAATTGCTTTAATATGTTGGACATCTCAAATGCTCTCGTTGTCTGCAATAGGACAAAGACTGCTTTGATTCTGAATCTATTCACCTGGGTGGAATTGGGGCTGTTGTGGGGAAAATCTAAAACACACACACACAGTTGTGTCGTCGCACAGGTGCAGTCCGGTTGGCATGTACACGGCATAGCCTCTGCTCCGAACGCTATGAAGGGATGGTCACTGCTAGCCTCTCACACGAAAACTGTGATTCCCTATCCTGTGCTCATCCCCCTCACCCCCTGATTACTTGCCCAGCATGCCGTTGTGGCCTCGATCTGCCATGCTTAAATAACTGTGCACATCAGCCTTCCATACTAATGACATGTCAGCAACATGCCATGTGTCGTCAATGCTTCCAGGAAGCTGTCATAGAAAATAATAAAATATGTGTCTTTAGCGCGTGGACCATCCCCGGTGCCATCACCCTCCACATCCGCTCCTAGCATGTC